CGCTTCACTCACAATGTCCGACCCTGCCTTTAACCAGAGCGGTCAGTAACAATGGACGGGAGTCCTGTTTGATTTCCCATCATTCCCTACTCCCCCACCCACAACCTCCGCCCTCTGCCCTTTCCAAATTGCACTCCTGGGACAGCCCAGTCTCCAAAGAGAAAAGCCGGCCCATGACTGAATGCGAGATCATCCTGAGCTGTATTACATTTTTCCCGAGCACTGCTATTTACTCCTGAGCCTGTTGACAGGGCTCGTTACAAAGTTGAAAACAACACGCTCGCTATTCAGCTGAAGGGTTGCTCTAAGTAATTAGCTGCAGCTTCACAAAGTCGGAAAGAGACTTTCATCACTTGTGCCTGCCAACTCCACACACGGGAATAAGCATCCTCCAGTCTGAGATACATAGGCCTCCATTCCACAAGACACTGTCAGGAAAGACACCTCAATGGTTAGCTAGTCGCAAGTATAATAGTGTTCTCCCTATCATGTCTGTCCCAGGACAGGAATGCAGTGACTGCACTACAACCCAGAAGAATAAAGTCCAGTAATAAAATCTCACGTGCCTATAGCAGTGTAATGAGTTCTGTTGGCCTCCTCCTAGCCATGTTAATTTAATAATTTAATTTAATTATACAAAACCCACCATGCCACTTGTTTTTGTCAGCTAGTTTCATTTCACGAATAGCGCGGAACAAGTCTTGCAACAGCCCTCCCCTGATTTCCCATCCTTGCAAACATCAACCCCACTTCCTCCCACACAGCCACCGACTACCAAAAACCCACTGGCTGGTTGTAAACATTCACTTTGAACCTCAGTTACCTACTCCATAGTGACCTGTCTAAACACTGCTCACCCTCTCCCTCTGTGTCCCATACAGAGTCACCCTCCTGAGCAAGACCCACCAGCAGACACCCACTGGATCAAGGAATGGGAAACATGGCCATCACCAACAAGCTCCTTGTGACAAGCACCCATCTGTCAACTGGTAGGTTTTGAGGTATGACATTGAGTGTGTTCCCTGCTAAACAGGGTCAAGAAAAGCCAAAGCCCCCATGCACCTAACCATGGGGCCTCAGGAGAAAGCCCTTATGCACCTGTGGAGAGAACGTTGCTGCATGTCACCGAAGCGTGATCCCTCTACAGATTAGTGGCCAACTATTCATCTCCAACTCAGCAAATGAGTAGGCTATTGTTTGTTTCTGGGGACTTGTACTGATAACAAATAAATGGAATTGTACAATAGCTACAGTACAGTGCCCAATTGGGCAGCGCCGTGGCTCAGTGGTTAACACTGCTGCTTAACAATGCTAGGGACCTGGGATCAATTCCACCCTCGGGTGACTGTCTGTGTGTTGTTTGCATGTTTTCCCCATGTCTGTGTGGGTTTCCTCCGGGTGCTCTGGTTTCCTCCCACAGTCCAAAGACAAGCAGGTTAAGTGAATTGGCCATGCTAAATTGCCCCATAGTGTCCAGGGATGTGCAGGCTCGGGGGACTAGCCATGGGAAATGCAGGTTTACAGGGATAGAGTGGAGGTCTGGATGGGATGATCTTCAGAGGATTGGTGCAGGCTCGATTTGCCAAGTGGCCTCTTTCTGCGCTGTAAGGATTCCATGGTCCCTCACGTCTAGACCAACTCTCAGCAAATGCATCACAGCTAAGATCATAAAATTAGGAGATATAGGCCATTCGGCCCATCAAGCTGCACTCTGCCATTCAGTAAAATGATGGCGGATCTGATTATGGGGCTTCCAACTCCACTGTCTTGCCTGACTCCCATCATCCCTCAATTCACTTGTCAATGAAGAGGCTGTTTAACTCGGCTGTGAATCAGATCCAATGGCTCAGCCTCCACTGCTCTCTGGTTCAAGATTTACGAACCTCAGAGGAAAGCAAAAGTCTTCCTCATCCTCGTCTTAAATGGGGGGGACACTATTTTGAAATTGTGTCCTCTGGTTCTAGGCTCGCTGGTGAGGAGAAATATCCTTCCAGCATTCGCCTCATAGAGTTCCATCGTTCTGCAAAATATTTCATCAGTTACTCCCACTCTCTCATTGTTTCCCAGAAATGGAGATTTTTTTCTCATCTGGCTCCCTCCAATTCTCTTCTGAAATCCCCGACTGAATCTACCTCCGCCACACTCTCAGGTGAAGTATTCCAGATCTGTGCACTTGCTGCTTAAAAGTTTTTCCTGTCATTCTTTGGTTGGTTCTTTGAACAACCATCATTTCCTCTAAAGCCTTTATAACTTTCCTGAAGTGAGGTGTCCATGATTGGACACAATACTCCAGTTGAGGCCAAACTAGTGAGTTCAATAGAGGTTCACCATCACCTCCTTGCTTTTGGACTTACTCCTTTATTTATAAAGCCTAAGATTGCATAGAATCAAAGAATCCCTACAGTGTGGAAGCAGGCCATTCAGCTTATCTAGTTCACACTGACCCTCCGAAGAGCATCCCACCCAGACCCACACCCCATTACCCTATTCCTGTAACCCTGCATTTCCCATGGCCAATCCACCTAACCATTGCATCTTTGGGCTGTGGGAGGGAACCAGAGCACCCAGAGGAAAACCATGCAGACATGGGGAGAATGTGCAAATTCCACACAGACAGTGAGCCGACGAATCAAACCTGGCGCTGTGAGGCAGCGGTACTAACCACTGAGCCATTGTGCTACTGGTATGTACTTTTAACCAATTTCTCAATAAGCCCTGCCATCTCCAATGACTTGGCCACATTTCTCCATTCCACTGTGTCTGATTGAATTCTACCCTTTGTATTATGTCGCCTCTCCTCAATCTTCCTGCCAAAATGTTTCACTTCACACTTCTCTACATTAAATTGGACCTGCCAAGAGTCTGCCCATTTAAACAGCCAAAGTCCTCTTGAAGTTTATCACTATCACCTTTCGTCTGGGCTTTAAGCAGAGATATGCAAGTTCTCCACTGGAAAGCAGATGAAGTTAGTTAGTTAAAGGAAGTAGCTTAAGCTGCTTTCCCTGTGCCAGGGGAGGTGAGCTAACTCAGAGCACATAAATGTAGACATCTCGGTGCACCTTAGCACTAAGTACATCTTTGAAGAGTGCGCTAGAAGTTGGGAGAGTAAGGAGGTTAGGGGAAGGAGGTACTTCTTTGCTTTTCTGAACTTTTCTGTCTTGTGCGAATTACTCCACTACAGGGGAGTAATATCTGCTCTGTAGCTGCCGGGTTTATGTAGCTTTATTTTGAAAAGCAAAATATGATGTGAAACCTGCTTGCTGAGAGGTCAGAAGCCAATAATGGACAGACACAATGGATCAGCCTTTGTCTACTGAGGCAGGTAGCTCAAGTTGAGAAATTTCCCAACTCACTACACCCCCATACACTCCATGTCAACTCAATGCCAACTCATACACCCACCCACCCACCCTCAAGTGCCCTCATAACCTCCATGTCACTTACCCAGTATCCCCACCATGGACCTCAGGAGTCATTTGGAGAGAAGAAAAAGCAAATATCCAAAAGTCTAGTACAGCTTTCACTCCTTACACACTTAATAGTGAAAAATAAAACCTTATTCATAGAACCCATTAGAAGCTTTCAAATCTTGAGTAGTTAATTGCTTACCAAAACAAATCTCTGTTCAGGTCCACATCAAAGACAGCTAATCATGTCACAGTTTCTTTAAATTTTTAATCAAGCTGTGAACTCAGAACCCTCTGCTGAGATAACTATAGTGTTTGAAACTCAGCCAAGCATTCATATCAATGTTATAATAGCCCTGGGAGCAGTGTCAACAAATTGTTCTACTGAGGTTACAGACTAGACACTATTTTCTTTCCAACCTACAACAGTCAATCAAAGCAGTCTGCAAATAATTTATTTTTCTTAGCTCTTGCTGCCAGCTACAGAATTGCTTTTAAAGTTTAAAGAGCAACTGATGACAGTTATACAGATTTCAACTGTTCTTTAATTGTACTTACACCAACTCTATCAATTGTGACTCCCACAGTGAGATCAAATGTACTTGCAACAGTCAAAATGAGATTTCTTTGAACTCAGCAACAGGTTCAAATTGCTTGGGTGAGTTTGAGTTTCCCTCCCCTGGTAAATAAGATCTCTTTCCTCTTTTGGCAAGAAAAACACTAAACTTATGGAAGCGAGGCATCCCCATCTGGTTTCTGCCTGTCATTTTTAAATCTCCACAACTCTCTATAGCAAAATTTCCTTGGCAAAACACAGGATCAAAAGAATAAATGTCGTGTGAATGTAATCATGAATAGGACAATTCATTATGTTTGTCTGCTTGGATCAGTTCAAACTCTCAACAAGTCTCTGTAGAAGTTTCAAACTATGACCCCATCAGATACCATCCATATAACTCAGCAGAGGTCTCATAGAGAACAAACTCCTCACATGTCATCAATGACCCAACCCCAATGACCTCTGGCATCAAAGCTCCCTCAAAAACAGTCAGTGTTACTCAACTGAATCTGTTCAGACATGTTCCGGGGTGAAAGGTCGAGGGTGATGCGAAGTATGAGTGTGGTCATGAGACCCAGAGCACAAACACATAACATTAAACTGCCCAATAAGTTCTGCTGTGGGAGGCATCTCACTGCTTCAGCTCAGGAGGACACTGAATGGATTGACAAACCAGACACTGCGCTATAAACTCCTCCATCAAACAGACGCAGTCACAGGAATGCTTAGTTATGAGTTGCACCATGAACCCTACAGTTATGAGCTACTAACACGCCACGTTTTCTGAAAAGTTACTCTGTCAGATTTACGTCTGCATAGAACAGCAGAAGAGCAAAGATCCAAAGAAGAGGCAAATAGCTGTTTCAGAAAACGCATTTCCACTGTGTTAAGGCAAGTAATCAGGTAGAAAGGGAATCAATTCAATGCAGCAGGATTGCAATAAATGACAATCTTTATGCTGAGTTCACACAGAAGTGCAAAGATTTACTGAAATGAGTCGCAATGTTAGGTAATAATATTGTTTTAATTCTTACCTGAGGTGGTTTCCTGCATCTTTTCACGTTTCCTCTTCTTCTTCTTTCCCTTCAACATTTGAAACAAATTCAAGATATTTTATAGATCAGTTATGTATACAAACTGAACAATAACTACAAGCAAATCCCACAAGAAACAGTTCTGGCAAGCAGTACGAATTGGTCAAGTGTGCCACCCTGATTATCCTTGACATGCACAATTCATTATCGCCATCTTTGTGCTACTGTGAAATGCCAATTTTACCAGTAATGTCAATGCTCTCAATATCAATACTGTTTCGATCACATAGAGATATAAGATATACAATGCACAAGGTTATTAATACACAACAGTGGGAACTTTGTTCCTCATTGGCAGAGTCTGGGTGCACAGGACAGGGAACTGGAAGAAAGGATGTGCATTAATATAGTAATTTTTGCAAATATTGTATGTCCCAAAGCGCTTTACAGCCAATGAAGCACTTCACAGAATGGGCACAGCACACAAGGAGGCCATTCAGTCCGTTGTAGCTGTGCTAACTCCCTGAAGGAGCAACTTACCTCCTGCCACTCCCCAAAGTTTCTCTCTGGTGCCTTCCCCATTCTTCCCTTTTAGATATTAATCCGATTATTTCTCAAATGTCTCAAAGGGATCTGCATCCCTATCAATATTATGCATGCCCTTCAGATCACCACCCACTTGCTGTATGAAGAATTGTCCTTATTTTTCCATTACTTGTTTTGCCCTAAATCTCTTGTTCTCAATCTTTCCACCAACAGGAACATTCTTTTCACTTTTTACCCTACTCAGACTCCTCATGATTTTGAGAACTATTACTATCAATTCTCCTCCTCCAAGGCAAACAACTTTATGTAACTGAAGTTCATCATCCCTGAAACCATTTTTGTGAATCTTTTCTGCACTCTCTCTGATGCCTTCACATCTCTCTGAAAGGCATGCTTGCCCAGAACTGGATGCACTACTCCAGTTGAGGGGGAACCGGTGTTCCATACAAATTTAATGTTACATCTGTACTGGATGACTCTCACTAACAATAACAAAGTGAAAAAGAAATGCTAAGGAGAAATTGGATAAAGACAAGTAAAAGTTCAATTAATGTCAGTTCACTCACATATGTAGAAATGGCAAACGCAAATTAACTCTGGTAAAAGTGTCATTGGTATTTGCGTCTCTAGTCGCTGAGACACAGAACCAATCAAAGCAAGCCTCAGTCTAAAACAGGCTGACAAATGTCTACTGTGCTTTGTGACAAGACTCATATTACAGCTGGGGTACTGTAACAAATGACATGAAGACAACAGGAGCCAAGGTCCAATAGCTTTCTAACAGAGCGTCTATTCACAACTTCACAATGAGATAGTGGGTGTGACTCAATCTGGGAAAAGGATGAAATGTCCTTGGAACTCTACCTGTTTAAAATGCTAACCTTCCCTTTTGTATGCTTCTGCCTGAAATTTAATACTGGAATATATATATATATTTCTTTACATGGCTTTGACCCTCTGTGAGGACATAATGAAATGGTTCTATTTGATTTGATTTCAAATGTTGCTTTATGTCCAGGGTTCAATTGTGTGCAATGTGATTTTGTGACATCTCTCTGAGTCATACTGAAGTCAAAATCCAACTGGTGACAAATCGGAAGAACGTAGAGCAACCAAGAGGGAAATAGAACAGGGGCTTCGGCTTCCAATGTAAAGATTCTCAGTGTCCCACAATACATCAGCTCGATGGAGATAGGAGTAGTTGAATCATGCAACCCAGCAAGGCTTCATGTTCAACCCCCAAATGGTTGATCTCAGTTGGGCAACTCATAGAATCTCTGTAACTGGTCTCATAGCCCACGGCTTACTGAGGAGAGGAGATTCACAGTCTTGGTCATTGTATGTGCCAATGTTGGGGGAGTCTCTCACCTCCTCCCTGTGACTGAACAGCCTGCCAATCAATGGCTGCAAAAAGCCACATGAATAATTAGTCCCATAGGCAAGGCGAGGGACTCTGATGTGGAGTCACAACTTCATAAAGGGTCAAATTCTTCAGGAATGAAAGACAGGGAGAAAAATGATCGAGAAAAGGGACGGATTTTCTCCACCTCTGTCAATTTAAATAAGCACGACCTTGGTGAAAGAGTTGGAGCAATTTCTGTCACCAATGCCCAAAACTAGCAGCGGTGGTTATTCCCAATGTAGGAGCAAATTACTGCAGATGCTAGAATCTGTACTGAAAACAAAAATGCTGGAGATCACAGTGGATCAGGCAGCATCCACGGAGAGAGAGCAAGCAAACGTTTCGAGTCTAGATGAATTAAGTTTCAAGTTTGGGATAATGATTCTTCTGATGAAGTGTCATCTAGACTCAAAGCATTAGCTTGGTCTCTCTCCATGGATGCTACCTGACCTGCTGTGATCTCCAGCATTTTTTGTTTTCAGGGTTGTTATTCCACCTGTAACTGAATCCACCAGATTTTCTTCCCTAACAAACACCGAGATTGCTGGAGAAACTCAGCAGGTCTGGTATCTATGGAGAGAGCAAAACAGAGTTAACACTTTGAGCCCTGTATGACTTTTCTTCAGAAGAATCATTATCCCAGACACAGAAACGTAATCCTGTTTCTCTCCCCACAGATGCTGCCAGACCTGCTGAGTTTTTCTAGCATTCTCTGTGTTTGCTTCAGATTTCCAACATCGCCAGTATTCCCCTTTTATTAGAGATTTTCTTTCCTGTTGATCTATAATGGGCCAGCTCACCAGCTGAATGTTGAGCGGGACAGGTGCTCCCTGGTATTTAGCAAGGCTTCAGCTGTCAATTTGCAAACCCATATCAATCCCACTAATTGTGCTGACAGCAAGGACATGGGAAAATCACACCCAGCTCTCCTTCCTCAAAGGTCTGCAAACACTTTTCCATGGACACCATGCTCTTTGAGCAAGACTTGCCCTTCACCATTGATGCAGATGCCAACTTGAGAAATTGGAAGCAATTTGCTCTGAGCAGTCACTTTGAGACTTTGCAAACTAACACAAACACTGGCTACAAATGATTCACAGCTGCAGAGTCACATCATACAATATCAACAAATGAGCTGAATAAGTCATAAATAAGATTAAAAACAAACTTAAAAGCCATACAGGAATCAGAGTTGTGTGAACTTCACATTTATAGTCTGGTGATGTCACCTATTGGCTTAAGCCCAATGAGCTTGAACAGGACAGACGGCTTTATAAAGGCACAACTAATGTTCGTAAAGATAACACTCCCTGTCTCTGTAAAGCTGAGTTATTTCAAGCTGCAAATTTGTTCCTATGTGAGCTGAAAGCTCCCTCATACAGGGGTGAAAGGCCTGTGGAAGTGCCCAGATAGAAACACAAGAAACTTACATAGTTATCTCGTGCAGACCAGCCAGGGTACAGCTGCATGTGAAGTTGCCGCTCCTTGCGAGCCAGTTCATAGTACTTCGCTTGCTCCTCACGGGACAAAGCGTGCCACTGTAACAAGAAGAGATGGAAGGACATTACTCAAACATTTACACGTTAAAGGGGAGTTGGAGGGGGAGGGAAGACGGGAACATGGAGTCGAAGCCACAGTCAGATCTGCCGTGTGCCTATTGAATGGCGGATCAAGGTCAAGGGGCCGAATGGCCTACGCCTGCCACACTTCACAGAAAAGGAATAATTTTGTTGGTGGAAATTGCAGGCCCGTAGCCTGGCAACACATCACGACTTTTACATAAGGCAGCGTGTAAACTTGACCTTGCTCAATACTGTGTCAACACTGCCCCACATCCCCAAATAAACTCAACTTCTGCTTCTATTGATGAAAACGGGAATGAAATGAGTATCACCAGAGTCTGCACCCACACCCCTATCCACTTTCTCACAAGGGTATCTGATTCCAATCCTACCCACTGACAGGTAAATCGTAATCTTGCATGAAACTTTCACGCTGGACACCAGTGTCGACTGAAAGATTATTTTACTGGAAACTGCCCATTTCTTTATTCTGGACGTGTCACAAATGGGGAGAGAAACCTGACAGCCAATGAAGAATCCTCCAATCAAGTAATCCAGTTGATGCAGGAAGGTGATGCACTGTAAAAATGGACATGTTTGGTGACCAATGGCAAGAGCTGGAGATCTGGTGGAAAAAATGATTGAACCTGAATTGCCGACTCGATATTCCCCTGTGTCACTGTGGCGTGTACTGGTAGCTCCTCAGACAACAGTTCCTTTGATTCATTCCCAATTCTCTCTGCCTCTGCATTCATCCCTTTTGTACTAAATCAGGCTGTCGCTCATACATACCCTTCAGATACAGCCTGCAGTGGAAACATGTCAAATCCAAAAGGGGGTCGTGAGAGGCACTTTTTCTTGTTACGTATCAAGTGACAGAACAAAGAAGGACAGCCAGAGGCAGTGGTAACTGTCGGGGCAGATTCCTCTTAAAACTGACACTAGTCACTTGTGTGAGGAATGAAAGACAGGGATTATTCTCGTGGGAATGCCAATGGGTAAGCATAGGACCTTTTGGTGACCTGTGGCCAATTTCCTGTGGTTTACCTTTACACCATCAATGCTGGCTGCTCTGACAGAGTAGCGACCGCAATACTGACTCACTGGAAAAATGCCCAGCACTGATACAGTTTAAGGGAGAGTGTGATGGAGGTTAATGCTGACACGTCGCATATTTTCCTGGAGTCTCTAGGAATTAAAGTCTGCTGTGTGTCACTCAGAACAGACATCCCAGAATCATTAAAAAACATTGACTGCTTTGTTTTATTCATTCATGGGACGAGGGCATCGCTGGCTAGGCCCAGCATTTATTGCCTGTCCCTAATTGCCCAGAGGGCAGTTATGAGCCAACCACATTGCTGTGGGTCTGGACTCACGTGTAGGCCAGACCAGGTAAGGATGGCAGTTTCACTTCCCTAAATAACATTAGTAAACCAGATGGGTTTTTCAGGACAATGGACGATGGATTGCTGATCATCATTACACTCTTAATTCCATATTTTGTTGTTAAATCGAATTAAAATTCTATCATCTGCTGTGGCAGGATTTGAACCCGGATCCCTGGGACATTACCTGGGCCTCTGGATTAACAGACCAGTGATAACAGACACACCCTATTTATTTTGTATTGTTTTACTTGAACACTTTTGGTGGCCAATTCTGAAGGATTGGTGACATGAATAAAGGCTGTTTGACTGGGTGAGGCAGTTGTGGAGCAACGGGGCAGGGTTGGTGGTTATGGCCTGAAAGCTCCAGGAATACGACTGACCGAGTGGGGCAAGCGTGGGGCTGAGAAAATATATTCAAAATGAAGTACACTAGAACATGGAACCACTTCCAGTAAACTGTGACCACGCAGTGGTGGTGTAATGGTGATATCACTGACTATAATACAGCGGACCCACCTAACATACCGGGGTCATGGATTGTAATCCATCTTTAGCAACTGGTGGAATCTGGATTCAACAGAAGAAATCTGGAATATAAAGTGAGTCTCAGTAATGGTGGTTATGACAACCAGCATCAATTATTGTATTATAGGGAGGGAAATCTGCCTTCTTTACATGATCTGGCCCACTTGTGACTCCAGGTCTCAACAATGTGACTAACACTTAACCGCCCTCTGAAATGGCCTAGCAAGCCCCTCAGTTTAAGGACAATTAGGGATGGTCAACCAATACTTGCTAGCGTTGCTATGTGCTCTTGTCTTTGCAGAAGATTATCCCACAGAGAACGGCAACAGGTCGGAAGAACAGAGTGGAATGGACATATCTATGGAAAACACGCTCTGCCCAGCTCGTTCAGCATTTAATATCCCGCACTGTGTGGCCACAAATCGAAACCAATGTCCAACTCCAGGTCACAAAGGAGAAGAGATACTGGACTTGATGACTGCTGTATAGGTCACTTACCCTCCTGCCAAGGATTTGATTGATAGCTGCACTCTCTTTCAATGTGCACTCTGCCACCACATTTGCTCTCATCTCCTTCATGTACAACATAAAGGCGTTGAGTGGCTTCTTGATGTGAGGCTTTTTGGCCTCTTGTTCCTTCCTCGTTTCCTGGTGAGGTTTTCTGTCGGCAAATATGAGAAGACACTTCTAGCCAATTTCAATCATTCCCATGGTTCAAGCAATTATTAAAGCACAGAATCGCGCTCCCCCCGCGATCTGACATCACACCCGCCTCCTCACCCCTCCTCCCCAAGAAAGGAAAGTGAGAATTTGCACATTTTCCTAACATTAGATGGAGCATTGGAATGAAGGTGGCTATTCAGCCCCTCAAGCCTGTTCCAACATCCAATTAGACTTTGTCCTATCCCCAGCTCAACACCATGCACCTGCCTAAAAAGTAATGTCAATCCTAGTGGTAAAATTTTGAATAACCACGCTCTTCCAAAGAAAAAGAATCATCTGCAACTCTTCAAATTGACAACCTACATGTCCATGTGTTCAATCTCGTTGTGAATGGGTTCTTGCTTGATTTGGTGGTTCACAATGGCTGGGTGTGGGATACCAGTGGTAGGAGGATTCGGGTTCCCATGGGCCATCGGATGGGAGAACCTGAATTGGAAATAGAGGAGAAGAAATTAATTTGTAAAACAGTACCAAACTCGCTAAAATCACAATGGTACTGTGGTCATGGGGCTATAGGCCTTCATTGATGCACACCAGACAGAAGTAAGCAACAATAATTGAGGCTGGATGGAGCAACAACCACAGTGTATATGTAAAGGTAATGTTGTAATAGTCTTACCAGACCATAGGGCCGCTGTCCCATTAGATAGAGACAGTTGGTGGTGGTTTAACCTGAGGGTCACCACCTCAGGCGAGGGGACAGGTAAAGAAGGAGAGTCTTTCAAGGTGAACTCAGCTGCTCGTGGGAATTGAGCCCATCCTGCAAGCATCACTGCATTTCAAACCAGCCAAACTGAGCTAACCGACGCCCTGTCTGAATATAAATGTGGACCGATGTTTCAAAAGCACTCTCAAGCAACATTACACAGAATGCTGATTCCAAACAATGAATTATTAACGCTCTTTTTAATCATATAGCTGCCTCCAACTGGAAAATAGTCAAAATATGAAAGTATTCTGCAGCGCTCAAAAGGAGTCGGTCTTTGTTCAGTTAAAACTTTGGGACGTGGCATGTATCTCGGCTGAGCTGCAATGTACAACCCTGCACAAGGCTATCGCTTCATGCCAATTTGAGTTGCTCCTGGCATGGTCAATGAGAGAGGTGCTCGCCCAAGCAACTACAACCTGAACAGTGCTCCCTATCCGCACCAGTGTGCCTGGTACCAACTGGGTTTGCCATAGGGTCGCAGCTGGCGAGTTTCGGGTTGGCTCCAATGCCAGACTGGGACGAGGGAAGGGCTGGATCTGGGAAGACCTTTGGGATCGAGGAGTGTGCTTTCCATATATCAATGTTTTGTACCTACGGCTGAAGGTGCATTATTAATGCGGGAGCCTCATCAAAGGAAGAATTGCTGCAGTGCAGAACACTGCAACAAACCCAGAAGATGCCATGTACTCTGGGCTTGGGAGGTGGATAATGTTAACCGAATGAGTGTGGCTGAGGCTCAGGCTTCATTTGGGTACCACTACTGGTACAAAGATCCTTAAAAGAGCCATGCTTTATTAGGAAGTCCAGCTGAGCCAATTAGCCAGTGGGATTATACTTGAAAGGGAAACAATTATCATCGTGCACTAAAATATAGTTAATGTGCATTGCACCTTGCCAATCATTAATAAGGGGAAAATTCCAGAAAAGAGTAACAGACCCTATTCTTAACTCTTTGCTGTGCAACGCAGTCACTTGGGCAGATCACTTTATAATGTACCTGCACCTGCACTCTGGTACAAAATAGTTTTGTCTGTATTAAAGGACTGTCATCAGGTTTCAGTGACGCTTGTAAAGAAACACTTTTTTTTTGCTGACAGTCAAATTACATGAAAACTCAGCAGCGGCAAAGCATGTGAGGGGCCCAGGGTGCAAATGTTAACATTAGTGCTGAGAATTATCCTTTGTGTAATGTCTCATTTTTTGAACTATACAGGGACGACCTTAAAAATAAAACTCTAGTTATCTAAACGTGACTCTAGTTGCATGGGGGGAATTAAGGAACAAAGAACAGACTGAGTGAAGGGAAGTGGCAATTTCTGCTTCTTTTTTTAAACAATTTAAAGGGCATTTAAATTTAAACAGACTGTTGCCAAAGCTTTTTGTCTTACAAACATCAGGACAAATGCAAGAATGTTAAATGTCAAATGAGTACATTAGAGCCACTATCGATGCTATGAGATCTACGCTGGGAAGGCATGGTAGCTAAAACATCTGAATAACAGATTGAGCCAGCCAATCCACAGTGCTACTATACACTGGCAACAGAAGTATACTTTTTATTAACAGGACACTGCCGTCAGTCCAAAGGGATATTCTGTCTACCACATAACTGAGCAACACTGAATGATTTCTGTGCCAAGGCGATGCCAACTACTGACTGATCAAACAGCATATTCATCTCGCTGTTTGTAATGGGCACATTAATGCCCGCACTTGTAAAACCCAAAACAAATCTACTATAAAATGTGAGACTCTAATTCTTTTTGAACAATCCTGAACATGTTACTAGCTACACTAAGAATCAACCTAAGATAATCAGCTGAACACACCCATTGCTCGTCTACCCTCCCTTCACATACAGGGACCTGTTCTTTGCAAAAGCATTTAAGCCATACACTTTTTATTTGAATTCCAGCAAGCTTGGGGACATACGAGGAGAGATTGACTACGTTAGGATTGTTTTCGATGGAGTTCAGATGAATGAGGGGGGGATCTCACAGAGACTTATAAAATTCTAACAGGACTGGAGAGGGTAGATGCAGGGAGGATGTTCCTGATGGTGGGTGTGTCCGGAACCAGAGGTCACAGTCTGAGGATTCGGGGTAGACCATTTAGGACAGAGATGAGGAAATATTTCTTCACCCAAAGAATGGTGAGCCTGTCGAATTCATTACCACAGGAAGTAGTTGATGCCAAAACATTGAATGTATTCAAGAGGCAGCTAGATATAGCACATGGGCCAAATGGGATCAAAGGTTATGGGCAGAAAGCAGGATTAGGCCGTTGAGTTGGACGATCAGCCAGGATCATGAAGAATGGTGCAGCAGACTTGAAGGGCCAAATGGCCTCCTCCTGCTCCTATCTTCTATGCATCTATAATTCCCTGCTGCTTATAGACGTACACACAAACATTTGCATTAGGAGCAGGAGTAGGCCAATTCATCCTCTTGGGGACTGCTCTCCTATTTAAATGACCATGGCTGATGTGATTGTAGGCTCATCTCCACATTCCCCTCATCTCGCTCAATTTCCCTTGTTAGTCAACAATCTATTTATCTCCGCCTTAAAACATATTCAGCGACACTGCACAGCTCTACGGTAACACCTTCAGCACTCAACCAACTTGCCAACCAATCAGCACGCTTTCTCACAGCGTATAAACTGTTGTGACCATTTGAAGTTAGTTTTCTTGCATTTGTCCTGATGAGTGCAAGCTGGACAGCTTCAGTAAGTTTCGAGGTCCGTGCTGCCAAGTGACAATTTAAAGGGCACGATATTTGTTTTGCCTCAGAACGGTCGCACTGCACAGAAAGGTGTGATTACCACAGGCTTAAAGAAACGGCTGCAGCTACAGAGACTGAGTGCCAATTGTGGAAATAAGCAAGCGCCAAAAGCACAGAAAAAGCACTGAAATGCCAGGCAACACTTTCCACTTAAGAACTGTTGGATGGGCACATACAGCAGTTATTCTGGAATCACAATCTTCCCTATCCCAGAGATGAGTGAATACCCAGTTTGTCTTGTATTGGTGAGGCTCATAATACCATGAGGTGATCCAGCCCACAGGTTCCAGTGATCATCTTGTACCTTATTACAACAGCAGAACCTTCTCGAAGCTCGGATTTATTTTAGTCAGAATAGACATTTCCCAAGAATTGCTTCCCACCCAGTCACATGCCCACCAGGATCCTGACTCTCAGCCAAGATGGGGGCTGCGTTGAAGGGGTTGGTAGGGCAAGGGGTGTTGTTGCTGGGAAGGGTGGTGGGAGGGGCTCTGAAAGGAGGGGATTTGGTCACCCATAGGGTTGGGGGTATTAGTTGAGACTCATATCCCCCCCTGAAAGCCAGTAGCACAGCAGCACTGCAGGGGAGTGAGGGGTAGGTGGGATATCGGATACAGGAGAAAGTCACACTCTCTTATCCAGAGTGTGAGGACAGGGAGTACGGAAGGTCCTCACATGGGCACAGCGCACTGGTTGAGTGTTGACAGGGCTGGCATCTTTTTATCGATCTGGGCCAATGGGGCATTGAAAAAATTGTTTGGTCCCCACAGGATTCATACATTCTTTCTCTACATTTGACTGGGAAATGGCCATTTCAATTCGAATATATCGGTTTAAACAGTGCAATTCGTCTGTCTCTAACAGAGAACGAGACAGCTTGAAAAAATAGTCAGGGCAATTTTATGCCACCTGCTAGTTTCCTGCCTGTCAGAACACACACACATATTTAAATAACTCTTATTTTTGAGGAAAACTTTGAAGGTTGCATTCAAATATTGAACTCAATTCCTCTACATTGGCTATGTGCGTGATTTGTTGCAATAGAAAAACGTGAAAGATGAGCTACAGAAAAAGTGTTTTGATCAATTAAAAGCTAAACAACATTGGCCTTTTGTTGTTCTGTGGCTAAAATGGATTAAACTGCAATAATTGTGCTTTCAATCAGATAAAATATTCTAATTAATTTTTTAAGTTTGATGCTCACAGCAATTTCAATATCTAAACAGTTGAATGAGTGATATTCCATGTTTCCAATTCACATTTTGAAATGTATTTGTTTCACACAATGTTATCTGAATTAGTTTGAATTATGCTGGCAATTAAATGACCAGTCACAACAGGATAGACTCAAAATGGGTACCATACCATGCTGTGTGCATCAACACACAGAGAGCTTGCTCTCTATCAATCGTTCCAACAATCCACGTCCCCTCCTGGCTGCAGGGCTAAGATTGGGACTTTGGCATGGGGTTGAGGATATCCTGCTTGACACCCTTCTGTTGTAGTGCTCGGAGAAGCAGCAAGACACTGCCAAACCTGTTAAACTCTTATAAGTCAGTCCCTCTCGGCTTGTCATTTTATCATGGGGAACCATCGATTACTAATGACCAAAATGGCAAATTACAGGGTGCAGAGGAGATTCACCAGGAAGTTGCCGGGGCTAGAGTTTTAGTTATGAAGAGAGACTGGATAGACTGGGATAACAAGGTGTAGAGCTGGATGAACACAGCAGGCCAAGCAGCATCAGAGGAGCAGGAAGGCTGACGTTTCGGGCCTAGACCCTTCTTCAGACCCTTTTTCTAAAGAAGGGTCTAG